TACGCTTGCAGTTGTCTGCCGAAATAACGTAACAAGCCTGTTGACGCCAGTCCCACGTCGACAATTGTTTGTCGTGGTGCCACTCGGACTTGAACTCATAACCCGAGTCCATCATGCTGTGAATAATTAAATCGATGATTAATTGAAAATCACGCTGAATTTCGTCCGTGGAATGCGATTTCGTTCATACACACACGACGAACGAGTTTTTTTATTCTAATTTTGAACTCGATCGTTCTCCAAATTATCATATTGCTCCAAGCTTCTCAAAATCCTGATGAGCGCTTGTATGCGGCTTCCAAAAAATATTTAATGGTTAAAAATTAGAATTAAATCTTGCACAGCTGACAATCAACGCTAATCTGGATTATGGAATTGTATAGTGACCTCTAGCGATAAAATTCAGAACAGAAATTCGACTTCTTGGCCAATAGTCAACAGATGGTCCAAACAATTTCGTCATTTAAAGATTTTAAACGGTTTTGGAGTCAGTAAAAGAAAGCGATACACTGTATTTATGACTCCTAGCTTGGAAATGAAAAATCTAATTTTACTGACAAGTAAATATAACTGAGAAATTGGAAAATTTGATCATTATCATTGATAAAATTTTCAATATGATGGGAAACTCTTAAGTTCGCGTCTATGAAATGTGTGAATTTTTCATCCGTTTTCATGTATTGTATTCAGCAAAAGAAGTGAAAGTGACGGGAAATTTGGGAAATTTCGCTGATTGATGGATAAGAAACCTTTATATTTTCTATTTATTCTTCATTTTTTCACCTTTATTCATTTACAAATTTTGTTACCGAGATTTTACGAGATACAGTTTTTCTGGATTTTGTCTTCCGTTTAAAATTTAAGAGGGAAACGTTAATTACTGCATTACAATCTTGTGTTCCAAAACTAATTTTTTATTCAACCTATTATTCTGCCAAAAATATTTTGAAATATATCACCATGCGTCCTGGAAATCTTCTGTTCCGGCGAGACAGATCTCTTGCTCGCAGGCAACTTCGCCGTCGGTGTGCAACATTCTCCCTATTGAAAATCACAAGAAATTTAAAATTTTTAAAAATTTGAATCAGCAGTAGCACATTCCGAAACAAAATGTGTAAAAGTCACGAGTTGAATCCGCGATTCGATCGAATGCCGAAGTGTCACAGCGACGCAGCAGAAAACGTGAAGGCATCCAGGATAACGGTCAATTATTACAATCGTCAAGTCACACTCCATTGAGCTTTTTCTCACATCCGCAAAAAAACCCTTTCAGCCCTTCGCGATTACGAAAAAAAAAAATCAGCTGAGTTAGCAGAAATATTGTATTTTTTATGTTCCTTGCTGCCAACCAGAGCAGAACCGCAGGAAAATCCACGCTAATTTCCGTTCGGTGTGTGCGTGTGTGTGTGCTTTTTTTGTCCATTGTTCCCATTATTTTTGCTGCCAGTCATATTGCAAAAAAATAGAACGTTTGATAATCGAAAACATGCGCAAATTGCGTACCAATCATTTGGGCGAACGTTTCCATTGTGAAGCTAGATTAAAAATAATCTTCGTTTAAATGGTTTTTAAAAATGGTTACAGTGCGTAACGAAATGTAGAGAAAGCTCTGTTATTTGAATGGACATCGAACCCAAACATAAAACAAAAAAAATTAAGTTCACATTACGAGACTTGATGCATTTATTTCAGTTCTATTTTCATATTGCCCAGCGAAATCAAGACAGTATTCGACTAATTTAATAATTTCTGAAATTCATGGTTTGAAATTAGGTGCCATTTTGCTCATTGAAATGATTCATTTTAATTTATAAAAATGACGATCGCATGTTCACATCACAAGTGAGACTTTCAGAGGTCTTGACGAATGAAAGGACATATGATGATGAAATCATCATAACTCACCTGAAGAAACAATAATAGTTTTCTACAAATATTTTTAAATTCCCTGCTGATGTTCATTGAAGTTGTACAATTTATTTGCATGTGGAAAATGCATACTTGCGTTCAGGCATCTTGTTTTCTAAAATTTTGCATCTCAAAGTGAAGGCTATGAATTATAAGGCATTCTTTCAAATTTACGAGCTTCAGAACACTGAACATTTGTGAGTGGTTTCCTGTTATTCTTTCACGTAAGCTTTCCCACTTTTTTGAATAAAAATCATACAGTTGGCGATTCCTCAAAAATTACAAAATATAAATCCACAAACGAGCTTTTTTATTTTTAACGCGAAGATTTGTTCGGAATTTAATCAGGCCAATGAATGAGCCCCAATATCTCGCAAATCCCTCATTCAGCTTGACAAACTGAAAACAATTTCAGAGCCAAATTTCATCCATTCGTTTTAGTTCTGTGTATTCACACTCGCTCATCAGGACATGGGAAATTTTAAATTTGGTGAAAAATCTCCGCTGAAACGCTCACGACGACGAGTTATCGAGATAACCGAAGTCAATCAAACGTAATGAAAGATGTGACTGAAGAATAAAAAGACTCGTTCGCACAGAAAAATAAACTATCAATTCAATTTTTCGCTTCATATTTACCTTTCTGTGCAAACAGATTAGCGATCGAACGTTTCCAACTGGACGCTGAATCAACGCTCATGAAGATTTTATTTAAGAAGGACGAAGAAGAAAAAACATTGAAAGGGATTTCCAAGTCAAAACAAAATTATTGCATATGCCACGTAATTCATTCTATCCAGTGCATGAATAAAAAACAATAAGTGCTAAAATCCTGAAGAAGAAAAAAAAAACCACGAGACACACAAGACGAAAACTGACGAGGAAACGCACGATCGAGTTTGGATAAGTATTCATCGACATTATGAGGACCAATTCGAGCTGAAATGTACAAGAATCCAATTTCTTAAATAAATTAGAGTTAACCGAAAAAAAATTTGTTGGTTAGCCCACAGCAGAAGGAAAAAATAAATAACCCCCAGTGGTAATAACGGAATGTTTTGCCCTGGCTTCATCACGCGAACCTCACGCACGAGTTGCTTCCTGCAGTTATTCCGCAGCACTCCTTTGCTCCACTTTTCCAACTGGCTCATTTATTCCTTATTTCTTTCTTTTCAGACAACTTCACAGAGAAAAAACAAAAGAAAACTGGAAGAAAACGGAAGCGGAATTTCAAGCAGAAATGCCTCAAGGAACAGAAAAGCAGCGAAGTCAGGTTGGTTCCTAGGAAAAATAGCTATTTGTTCTGGCACTGTTCTAGTACGTGACCAACCACCAAAGTGAGGCAAGTCTTAGTTTTCAATGCTGTGATACTAAACATGCATTGCAAAAAGTTATCTACAAATATTAAGCACTGCTGTGTAATTTTTATAATATATTGGTTTTGGAATCAAACAAAACAATATGTTTGATAAATCAGAGTACAGTACAGTACTGATGTACTGCAGAGAAAAACATTAATGTTTACAATTGACCATGCTTTGAAATACCAATAAACTTCATGCAGTGCTAAATTTTTGACACAAATGCACAATTTTCTCAGATGTAACCATTTTCTGAACTTCAAAGACCATATAATTTTTTTATTCCCTACAGGAAGTTTAGTTGAAACATTTTTTCATCTAGAAGAGGTTTCTAGTGGTCGGGTAAAGGGTTCTATATTGGCTTTCAGGTTCAATTTTGATGAACAGGCATCCAACAAGTATTTATTTGCCCTGCCATCAAGTTTTTTTTTCGCTCCATTTATAATTTTCTTTTATTTCGGAAGAGATTTCGTACTTGAAAATCATGCACGTTTTCGAAATTATTTTTGGATAGTTCTGTTATTTTCCAGGGGTTGTTGTTCTTTTCTGGGGAATTCTATGCTTCAAAAATTGCTGAGATTTTTAAAACTTAATTTTGGACAGTTTTATTATTTTCCAGTGTTTTTTGTTGCTGCTTTTTTTGGTTCTGAGAAATTGTTCCGCCACATGAACAGCTTTTATTCTTTTGAAAAAATATGGGCAGTGGTCAGCCACGTACTGCAACAGAACTATTTTCCTTGTTCCTCTGCTGAAACCATTACCGGCTTGGGCCAATGCTGTTTTCCCTCGGGAATTGGGGCACTGCTGGTGGGTCGTCTCCATTAAATTTTTTGTGTGTGTTTCTACGCTGGCACGAAAATAAGGGGAATAAAATGCGCAAATGTTTAAAATACAACTGTGAATAATACAGTAGAAGTAAATGACCCCAATGTGTTGTTCTTCTTATTGCTTTAGAATAGTCAATTCTTGAATCTGTTTGTGTGCGGGAATCTGTTTATCTTTGCCGGAAGTCGAGTGTGTCGCATGCGCACGTTGACCTCGCATCTCAGCTGCATTCCTCTCAGTGTCAATTAAATCTAGTCTGCTTTTCATCTGTATATACACATATACACACACTCACTCACTTACACAGTGAGGCAAGATTCTCGTGATTTAAAAAATAATTGGAAGTTTTTTCCTTGTTCCGTGCGGTTTGAATTACTGTCCTTAGAAAAAAAAAAATGCGTACTACAATATTTGCTCAAATTATCTCGACGACGCAGTTCCACGAAGAAAGGAACAAACACTATTTCAAATCTCCTTTGATAAACATGCTTCGAAGCTCTTTTGATAAACATGCTTCAGCCTTATAGAGTGAGCAAAACCTTGAAAATATAACATTCGACGTCGGAATTTCGGTTCGGAATCTGGGACAAACTCGGAATATTTTCCCTTGCTGTCAGTACGCTAAGAACAGTTGTAAATTCCCGCGAATTCCAGCAATATACGAAATGGTGGAATTTTTCGCGGAAAAGCACAATTGATTTTGCTTCGTAGAAATTGCACTGGTGAGATACGATTCCTGGAAAATATCCACGTTGATTCATTGATTCTGGTTATTTTTTAAAATTCTTCTTTCATTGAATAATCATTTTCATTGGAATGAATATATTTATTATCGGATGACGTGCTTTCAAATTGTTTAATTATTTCAGGTATATATATATATATATATATATATATCTCGAAGTTCTCAACCATTTAATAGCTTCTGGTACTGGGATATTGCAGTAGAATAATGATGATTACTGTCTCGATACTTTTCCCCCGTCTCAAATGCTGCAGCAGTACTGTATAGTTATACTGTATTGCCCCTGTGTATATCGTTCATGTATTTCTCAGGATTCCTTGCCCTCAAGTGAGAATTTCTCATCACAAGAGAACATGCAGTACTTATTAAATAAGGAGTTTTTAGGTCCTTGGTTGAACAAGTGATACCAGAAAGGACTACAGTACTTGGTGGTACAAAAATGAAGCTTCTTGGGGAAAATATCTGGAACGTAAGTTTTTCTCATTCTTGTAATGCCTACTTGAACATTAAGAGGGCATTCAAGGGGCAATAAATATCTACAGTATTATATTTTAAAGGCAAATACAGGTGGTACGTCACAATTCAGCCTCCCGCAATTCTACCATCCCGCAATTTGATGGTCAAATTTGCAGGGCGGTAAACTTGCAATTTAACCCATTCCCCACAATTTGACCTGCTTTGGCCATTTTTTGCATTTTTGTACATATATTTTTGAATTTCATGGAGTGCCTCACAATTTGACTGATTTGCAATTTGACCCTAGTTTGGCAATGGATTAAGGTCAAATAGAAAAGTACAGTATCATCTTTATATAATGTATAGGTGGACTCTCTCTTTCTCTCTCTCTCTCTCTCTTTCTCTCTACAACAAAATTCAAGGAACAAGCATAAATTGTGTTGCAGACATGATTTTTTTCTGTGGAGAAGCGCTGTAATATGGGGAGAGAACCATTTGGGACAAAAACAAATTTTTATACAGAGAAAATTGTCGTGGACAAGATTATTGCACAGGGAGTCCACCTGTATATCAATTACCCAGATTCTGGAAATTAGAATATCATAGCAAATCTTGCAATAAATTTAAGCAATTTTGTGGATTAATATCCAAACATTCCATTTTAGCAGCATTGACCTCATGATAGACGCTATTTGAAATTTCCTCATCCGTTTTCGAAATGATTGGGGACAACACAGGTGAAGTCC